GGGGGGACACGCTATGGACTAGAGGCAGGACACTCAGCTCTCATTCACGCAGTCCTAAGTTCAATCATGGGTCAAGCTGAATTATAATTTTTTTTTCTCTTCTCTTCCATACAGATCAAAGGCATACTAGTTCTCTCAGTGAGGCAAAAACTTACTTCACATCCCATACAAAACCGGTGAATTACTTTTTATATATCTCACACTTTAGTATGTCAGAAGGCATACAACAAAATGACAAAGTTCTCACACACATAATTCACCATTTACTTAGTTACAAGTTTCATTTCCTACTGCTGATCCCAGACATTTATATATTTGCATTCAATCCTGTATGGGCTCCAGTTTTGTCTGAACTGATTTCATGAATGACTTCAGCAGCCTGAAAAAAGTTTCATCAGCACCTTCCGTGGCCCTTCCTATTAAACTAGATTTTCCTGACAGTATATTGCACTGTGAGAGGGGACTGAAAATACACTGAGAACATGGCTTCAAATTCCATTCAGGAAATGAATGTTTATCTACTTATTTTTTTGTTTTCCTGTCACAGACAGGCCACATGTGGGAAGTACAGCTAACATAAGGAGTCCAGAAGTTTCTGCACATGGTTTTTAAGAACCCTTATAATCAAGTGACCAGGGCTCAAATGTGGAAGCAGCAGCAGTAGAGAACAGGAGAATCTCCATGGCGAACTGAATAAGCATCAAACAGTGTTTATCTACACAGGCAGAAGAGCATATGCACTGATAAAACGCTTCACTGACTAAGTATAGCAACAGTATGATGGCCAGGTTCAATTCTTGACAGGGGCAAGAGATTTCTCTCTGCTCCACGGCAGCCAGGCCACCTCCGAGGTTCATCCAGCCTCCTATCGAGTGGTTATCAGGAGCTCCTTCCCTGGGGGGTATAAGCGGCTGAACTATGAAGCTGATCAGTCCCCTTCACTTAGTGCTGTGGTAAAGAATAGTGGAGCTATACTTCCACCCAACAATATGTCTTCATGGTATAGTGCCTAATTAAGCACGGGGACAATATAACCCTTTACATCCTTCATGAGCGCTGTTCTACAGAAAACAAGGGAAGGAACTGTGTATAAGGTTAACAGAGGCCACAGTTCTCAGAAGGTATCAGTCACGTCAACTTCTCACTTTATTACACTTCTCATCACAAACATGAACCATCAGTTCTTAAATCTCTGGTTGCAAACAGCACGCACGCCTGCCATATTTATGTTTGGCTTTCATCACAAACATGAACCATCAGTTCTTAAATCTCTGGTTGCAAACAGCACGCACGCCTGCCATATTTATGTTTGGCTTTCATCACAAACATGAACCATCAGTTCTTAAATCTCTGGTTGCAAACAGCACGCACGCCTGCCATATTTATGTTTGGCTTTCATCACAAACATGAACCATCAGTTCTTAAATCTCTGGTTGCAAACAGCACGCACGCCTGCCATATTTATGTTTGGCTTTTCCAAATACATGAACTAGAACTACAAAACTTGCATTCAGGAAGAGATGGTTTGGTAGGATGCATTTCAGATTCTATGTTGGGTCACTGAAATATTTCCTAAAGCA